CATGTCAGACAAATGTGAGCAAATAACTCGATAGGTTTCTACGACGTCTCTCAGCAATTCACACAAGTCATTTCAGCATCTGTTTATGAGAGCTGGTTGAATACACTGAGCTTGAACTTGAAACAAATACCATTACAGTATTGATTGTATCTAGTTTGCAAATTCTCATTGTATGTAATGACTGAAATGATTTAGTATCGTGTAAGAAATACTGTGAATGTTCTTGAGGATATGTGACAACTGTGACAACTCAATCAAATACGAATTATATTAACACAGTTGAATGTGTTCTTTTCAAGAGATATTGATTCACAACACATTCATTTAAATGGAAATATTTCATCTCAGTTTATAAGTTTGAGAAGTTTCTTACATATACATACTTATATTCGTACGATATAAACTTTATGACTTGTTACATCTTATCAATAATCTATTCAGTTGCTAAGTTTTTTTTTATTATGCTAAAATAATGTGTGAAATGTCTTCTTGAAGACTGTTTCGAAAATGTTCAAAAACTTATTTCATCAAAAAGAGTGAATTGTTTATTGACTTCTTGAAATTCCAATGAAATTATATGCTTTTATCTTACAGCAGCAGCCGCAGCAGAGAAGTGTTAATTATTTGCACTCCTTATGAGGATCCTTTCATAATCGACAATTTCTTACACTTTACCATCTAACACATACCTTGTTTGTTATACCATGAATGAGAAAATTTAAGAGGATCAGTAAAATTAAAGTGTATTTCCTGTGAATTCACTATCAACATTTAAAGATCTGCTTATAATAGCCGGGGTTAGATTCCAGTCTTGAGATGTTGAGGTTGTCGGATGAATTTCAGCTTGTAACTAGGTGTACAGATTACTATGACCATGAACTATAGTATTCTGACTTTTGAACGTTTTTCCTCAAAAGGTTCCGTGAAGAATTCACGATAAGTTTCCGCGACTGAAATTCTCCGTGATAAAACTTTTGTAAGCATATGTTGAAATTTTCTAGTATTTTATACAGTCATCGGGCAATCTTTACAGTTTTGGTAATGTTGGGAAAGGTATCTATGAGAATACACAATTTAGTTGCGGAATTTTTATTTTTGAGAGAATTTATTGATGATCAAAGAGATATCGACGAAAGAACAATGTGAAAAAATCAGATTCTTCACTAATTTTCTCCTCGGTTTATCAGTTTACGCCTGAGATGTTGATATAACTGGAAAGCGTAGAATGGAAGCCTTAAAACTGTATTATTTTACGTATTTATGAATTTTGTTCAGATGTTAAAAGATATTTTATCCACTCTACCGCGTTATGCAACGCTTATATGGTGCGATAGAAGTGACATACGCACTACGATTGAATTATGCTGCGTGGTGGTCAGGAAAATAAATTATATAATCAGCCGTCCAGCTGGTTCGGCTAGTCTGATCGATCTGCGATTTGAATCAATCGGCAGTTGCTAGCCTGTCTGTCTAGGCAGTTGTTTGAAATGTCTGTTTCTAATAGTAATGTCGGAAGTCCATCGGATGCTGCTGCTTTTTTGATGTGGTTAGGAAGTCGGCAAAATCGATTAAAACACAGTCGATTCATCCTCCATATGGAGATATGGTAAAGAAATCCCTAAAGGAGCTTAAGGATCGTGGTGGTTCAAGCCGTAAAGCCATTGCTAAATATATAAAGGCCAATTACAAAGTTGATGATCGTGCTGAAAGTCATCTACGTCGTGCGTTAGTTACTGGTGTCAAGTCGGGCAAGCTTGTTCACACTAAAGGAATCGGTGCTTCTGGTTCATTTAAACTTGCGGATAAAGCTGTCACGCCGAAGAAATCCTCACGTCCTAAAACTTCGAAGCCGAAATCCACTCCAAAGAAGAAACCCAGAGAGAAGCAAAAGTTGTCAAACGAAAATCACCTAAAAGTACATCTCGTAAACGTGTAGCATCAAAGCCTAAAACAGTCAAACGAAAATCAGCTGCTAAACCAAAGAAGGCGAAATCACCTCGTAAACCAAAAGTAAGTAGAATGAATCGAAGCGTTTTACTACATAGTTTCCAACTGCCTCAGATGAACATTATTTCATGAATACGTGTTTTGATTTTTGTCATTTTTATAGACAGTGAAGCCTAAGAAACCAGTGGCAAAGAAGACTTCAAAGAAAGTTGCCAAGAAGTGAATGTGGTGTATCTGTATGCGTGTAGTTGATTTTTATTGCTGTTATACTACTCGCTTGTACATGTATGCGTTTTTCATACTGGTCCCATGTACATAGACCTTCTTTACTGACTACTACTATTACTACTGTCATGCGCGACTTTTGATTTTTCAGATTGTATTCATTGTTATTTAATTTTTTTTTAAAAGTTGACACCGGTCAGTAATGAAATCGCAAATTTGAAAGCATTTACTTAATCTTTTTTTCCAAAATTCTACTTCTCGAAAGACTACCAATAATTTGATACTCCTCCATGAGGTGGTCATTTCGAATTCGACGACGATCCTTGTTGCGGTTGAATTCTATTCATTAGTTCTACATGTGAATTTGTTGCTTAGCTAAACTAAACCAAGAGAAAAAATGAACTACTGTGACCATCTGGAATAACTCAGTGATGATAACAAAGTTTTCCACCTTCAATGATAACAAATATTCCATTACTTACTCGGTTACCGTGTTTACCTCACGATTGATGGATCCACCCAAAATGCACATTCTCAGACTGTCAATCGGAACATCAGATCAGAATTGCACACGAAAAAGTCCAGTCGTGTTTTCGCCATTTTTCAAATGTGTAGACGGAGCAGTTTCAAACAGCCTTTTTGACTGTTATTGATCTTGTGAAACACTTTTGGACATCAGCAAATGGAATCCGCCAAATATGGTGTAGAAAACCATCAGCAACTTAATAATATGACAATGATAATGATGACCGGTGTCAGTATTATGGTAATACGCAAATGGAATTCTTATCACATCAGATGTTTAACCTCCTTTATAAACTAATATTAGTTAATTATTTATTTTTATTTTTACAAAGAAATGTTTGATGTATATGTTGTTATTTTAGAAATAGCTATTAAACTATGTCCTTAGTTGTGTTTTTCTGTTAATAGTTGGATGGATGGTTGATTGTTGAAGTTCAACAATTTTTCTAAAGTGAGAGGTAATCACTGTTGACATATGTGAACTCGGTAGGGACTGAGCGGTATGATGTTGAGCATGATGTGACCTACAGGTGTCCAGGTTTGACTTCATGCAGCGTTTTGTTTGCACCCTGTTATCTAGTTCACACATAGAACGGTCTTAGGTGCTGTTAGATATATGGCAGTGATTGTTGCTTTCTGGTCGCCTCCTACACTATAGAAGGGTATTTCTCGAGCTAGGCTTGTTATAAACGATCTGAGAGCCAGACCACAGATCCTAACGGATAACTGTTTGAGTCCGATCACATACTGGTTTTTGTGAATAATTGTTGATGCTCCAGCTTGCACCGGTAGTTGTTCGATGCAAACACTTCACTATCATGGCACTCCAATTCGATCGCGCACATGACCTTCAAACTGGCCTTGAGATTATTTCGCTTTCTGCTTTTCAACCAACCTGACTGGGATTGTAGCGACTGGAAAATCCAGTGTTCAGATCAAACGCGTCCAAAGTGAAATAACTATCAATTTATTATTGTTATATAAATGACTAGATTTTTAGATTACCTCCCATTCAAGTTATCTGTGAGGTGATCCACCTCAATAATATCTTCACATTGATTGGGTGGTCATCGTTCAGTTATGTAAATCTTAAAACTGAAGTTCGATAGAAGTTAGAATTTGTACAATTAATACTTCACTGGTTTAACCATGGTTTATTGTGTCTCACTCATCTCCCCTTAATATTTTCTGTATCTGTATAATGCACCGTCGAGATGAAACATGTAATAACTACTTCTTGGTTGTTAATGTTTTGCGAATGATATGAGTTTGTGTTGACACTGTTATAGATTCATTGAGATGTTTTATTAACAACTACATAGTTGTAAATCATACTATACTACTACTACTGTGGTGCGCGCTACTTATAAGTAGTAATGACGGGAGTGTAAACGTAATGTCTGACAGCAGAAGATGGGGGATGATCGATAAAGGAAGAGTGAGAACACAATGGAATTTGTATGAAACGCATGAACAGTGAAATGTCAGACAATGGATTGATGTTTTGCAACAGGAACAGTCCAGTTCGATATGATGGATTGATATTTTGCAAATAAACGATTCACGATATGGTTTTCCAATTTACTGAGTAACTGTAATTTGCGATAAATATAATGTGGTTTTCCTTCACTGCAATATTACTACTACTACTACTACTACTACTACTACTACTACTAATAATAATAATAATAATAATAATCATTAATGACATTGCTAATACTGTACATATTCCTAGTTTATCAAAGTAACTTATTACTTCCTAAGATTGGTCATATGCCTAATACGTCTTTGTAAATTCGAACATTTCTCGTCTATAAAGATGAGCGAATCTGCCTTACATTAGGACGTTCGTCTAAACTGGAGCGAATAGTTTCACCGCAGTTAGGCGCTGAGTTCACATAGGAGATTAAAGAGGCGAAATTATAAATGTGAGCCTCAGCGATTGAATCCATTTGTCACTATAAGTCAGTCATTTATGAACATTTGGTTTATGCTTCTTATACTACATCCTTGTCATGTGCACATTATCACTAGTGTATGGAAAATGAGTCAACAAGTTTTCACCGGATTTAGAGGTCATTTAAGGTCGCATGAACATTTGAAAAAGTGACATTTAGACAAGAAATTTAAACAGACTTGTTACATATATTGAATTTATCATAGTTGATAAAAATTAACCATTTTACTCTGCTCTAATTGCAGAGACAACAATTGAAATGCGATCAAACAAAACCAAACAAAGTTACTTTAAAATTGTATCGAATATCTAAGATCATCATATAAACATTATTGAATTGTACTAGTCTTATGATGAAGATGACTACATTGAAAGTCAGAGTGTTCGTGCACCCATAACATTTACACTAAAGTTGAAATGTATTTATTTATTCAACGAAACAATCTATTCTATTTTGAATACTATGGATTAACTAACTATTATTAGTAAGGTGATGATAACTAATTTTATGAATTAGTTGATGTCCATAACTTTTCCTATCTTAAATCAAAACAACTGATTATCATGTGATAACTAGTGATCACATTATATCATTCCCAATGATTGTTTCGATTGTGAATGCAGTTACTATAACAACAATCACAACAAGGAAAACGAAGAAAGATACTGTTATACAACGAAAGATGGTGTTAGTAAGCAAAGGTTCTTTTCCTATTGATCTAAATAATACTCGTCAGTCTCAAAAATCCATACTCTAATGCAATAAATAAGTAGATTCTCATACTTACAAAATTAAAAAGAATGTAAAAGTGTATGTGTTATGAAATGCTCAGAATATATATTCAATCACACTTAGACAGCTAAATTTAACAGTAATATTGTATGCATTACAGGATATGATGATCATGTAGTTTTGTGGGTTAATAGTACAGGTCTGTTTGATGGATGGAAGTAGCAGTAAACTACTGTTGAGTATTTACCTGTTTTGAACAGATCTGATTGTGTATATATAGCATTTCTCAGTTCATTCGACAATCAAGAGTTTATCAGTCAGCAAGCACTAATTCACCTAATCCTGTGAATTCTCATCGGGCATAGGCCGCCTACCGGGCATGTTCACACAACTTTGTTCTGGATTGTCCTTTTCCGTTGTTTTTTTAGAGTTGTTCGTGATCTGGATATTTGTTTTTGATTCTCACCCACATATGTTCTTTTGTCTGACAACTTACCTTTTGCCTTGAAGATTCCAAGTAAGGGCTTTTTTGTGATTTATTTAAATGGTTTCCACATAATGTGTTCCATCCACTTCGTGAGTCTTCTCTTCGCTTCCAGCTTATCTAGAAGCTGTTTTTTTCTATCAGGATAAATCATTGGTGATGGTTCTGGCAAATGGATCTGTAGTATCTTGAGTAGATAGCTGTTTATAAATGGATGTACTTGTCGGATGATGGTTGTAGTGGTTCTCTACGTTTCAGCCTCGTACAACAGAACACTTTTTGTCGTCCATGTAGGAAACTCTGACTTTGGTATTGGCTGGCTATTGTTTTGAGTTCCAAGTATTCTTCCATTGAAGAAATGTTGATCGTGTCATTACATCTGCATCGAATCCTCCTTGTTTAAGAATGGTGCTGTCCAGGCATGTAAAAGCATCCACATTTTCCAGAGCACCACTGTTAAGTGTGATTTATTTGGTACGCACTGGTTTTCCTTCAGTATTTTACTTTGTCCCTTATGAATGTTGAGAACTGCTGTTGCTGTAGCATTTTTTTTGTGTAAAGTATGGTAAATTGGGTACCTTTTATTCAAGTTAGTCAGTGCGACACAGTCACTATTCAGAGTCTCGGCACGGATACAGAAGGCTCGACTAACTTGCCAACTTGCGTCACTTACAGTGAAGGCGAGATGACCGTCTGTTAATCAGAGGATGAGTTTACTGTGCAACAATGCCCTCCGTCCGATTACAAGGGTGTGAAACATGGCCAGTAAGAGTTGAAGATATTTATAGGTTACCCGTTTTCGATCATAGATGTCTCTGAAGCAGTGCTCGTTTATCTTGGGACTATCGAGAAAGCAATGAAAATGTTAAGAAACGGGTCCTAGGTAAGGACGGCAGATCAGTTCATGAAGTATTGAAAATTCATCATTTGAGGTGGTTGAGACATGTGTTACGAATGGCCAACTGTCGACTGTTGTGTTTGTGCAATATATACAATGACCTTGATGATCGCTAATCACTATACAGACACGTCAGCCTCTCAATTACCAGCCCCACGGAATAGAGGAAAAAAAACAACGACTTGTGAGACAGATCAGATCAGATCAGATCGTTTATTATTTCAATCATGCCTTTATATACATGCAAAATCAGACTGCATCGTAAACCAATTAGAAAACTGACATCAATACAAAATAACAGTAATAGTGAGTGTGAACTGGGGTAACGCATAGCAGTCAATTAACTATAGTTCATAAATGAGAAATGATATAACAACAGTTAATGCCTCAAACAAGAGTATAGGATAAGAGCAACGTCACAATAATAGGAATAAAATGCTTACTTTGTATACAACCAAAAATAATGAATCTTAAGCAGAAAAAACAGTTTTAGGAGATAGTCAATCTTCTTTAAGTGCCCGCCATAACACCTCCCCCTTTTATTTTGAAAAGAAAAATAAACATCATCGGTAAGATTTATCATAGGGGTTCACTTTGATCCTGTTTGGTTTCCGTCGAATTCTTTGTGATTTCCTTAGAAATGATGCTGTTCTTGTCTCCACTGCTTTCGTTTTCTGATTGCTTCTGTCAGTCAAATCAAGTAACATGTTTAACGGCATCGGAGTACTCAGCTTAACTTCATTCCCGTCATCGCATCTGGACGGTCGGATGTGGTTAGCATGTCTTAGCCATTTCATATTGCTTACTCCGACCTCATAGATAACTCTTCCTCTGTTCCTTAGAATAATTCCAGGAACCCACTCCATTGTTTTACGATGAAAATCACGTACCCAAACCTTTTGTCCGGGTAAGAATCTTCTGGGCTTCGCTCCATGCTTCTTGTTGTATTGTATTTCCATTCTGGAATTACGTTCGATAGTCATTTCAAAATTTGGCTTCAAACTATGTAATGGCGTTCTGATTTTTCTTCTAAGCATAGCTTCCGCAGGGGACACTTCACCGACCGTCTCACGATTCGGTGTTGAACGATAAGCAAACAGGAACTTATACAATATCTCTTCTAATCTTCCTTCCCCCTGGGCTTTGAGTAACGCTCTCTTAAAAGTGTCGACGAATCTCTCGACTTGCCCATTTGATTGTGGGTGATACGGAGGGGTTCTGATATGCTTAATGCTGTTAAGAGCACAAAACTTCTGGAATTCTGCAGACACGAATTGTGGGCCATTATCGGAGACAAGTACTTCTGGGACTCCGAAACAGCTGAATATTTGACGCAGTTTGTCTAGTGTAGCCGTGGTTGATGTAGACCTCATACAATGTACTTCCGGCCACTTAGAATAAGCATCGATGATAATTAAGTAGTGTTTGCCCTTTAGGGGACCAGCGATGTCTACATGAATTCTCGACCATGGATGTGTCGCTGGTTTGCAGCAGCAAAGTTCGGTTTTTCTAGGGGCTTTCGCAGCTTGTGCACATTTTGAACATCTCAATACATAATTCATAACATCAGTATCAATGTTTGGCCAGTATACGTAACTGCGGGCCAATGCTTTCATTCGGACGACACCTGGATGTGCAGAATGTAATTGTGACAGGACTTTGTGGCGCAAAGATTTGGGAATAACTACACGGTCACCAAACATAAGACGATCATCAACAACAGCAAGGGCGTCTCGTCGATGAAAATATTGTCGTTCTGTTTCGTTGAGGTGTGGGGGCCAACCACACAAAAGATAGTGAATAATTGTCTGAAGCTCTTCATCCGTACTAGTTGTAGATTTTACGTCCATTGCTGACAAAGGTGTAGCCTGAATCGAAGTTTGCAGTATGTGATGAATATCATCTTCCAGTGACACCGTAGCAATAATAACATCTTCGTTCTCAAACTTTTGAGTCGCAATTAATCTGGAGAGGACGTCAGCGTGACCAAAAGTCATTGTTGATTTATAGCGAATCTTAAAGTCATAAGCTAACAACATAATTGCCCAACGCTGTAAACGATTGGCAGTATGTACTGGAATGCCGGACTTTGCCCCAAAAATAGAGAGGAGAGGTTTGTGGTCTGTCAGCAACGTAAATGGTCGACCATAAATCATTTTATGAAACTTCTTTATTGCAAAAATCAGTGCCAATCCTTCTTTTTCTACTTGACTGTATCTCCTCTCAGTAGCATTTAGAGATCTAGACGCATGAGCTATCGGTTTCTCTTTACCATCAGGGAAACGATGACTAATAACAGCACCAATACCGTAGTTAGAAGCATCGGCAGCGACAACTATCTCTAATTTTGGATTATAGTGGGTTAGTAGTAAATCAGAGGATAAGATTTTCTTGATTTCTTCGAAGGAATTCTGGCATGCTTCTGACCAATTCCATGTTGCATTCGCTTTTAGAAGTTGATTCAAGGGATGGCGTAACCTTTGCATAGATGGAACAAAAACACTATAATATCCAATCATACCTAAGAATGATCTTAAAGTCACCACATCGGTAGGTGCAGGCATTTGTGTGATAGCATGTATATTATCTGGATCTGGACGGCGCCCATGTTTATCAAATATAAATCCAAGATATTTAACAGATTGAAGGAAAAATTCACATTTATGTTTCTGCAGTTGGAAACCAGATTGTGATATTCGTGTAAGTACTTTATCCAAACGCGATAATAACTCATCTTTAGAGGAACCCACAACAATAATATCATCAAGATAAGCGGCAACACCATCAAGATTTGATATCATAATGTCCATTAACTGTTGGAAAATAGCAGGCGCTGGCTTTACACCAAAAGGTAGTCTGTTATACTGGTAAAGTCCACGATGAGTATTTATTGTTAGATAAGGCTTAGAATCATCATCAACTTCTACTTGTAAATAGGCATCAGATAAATCCAGTTTTGCAAAATAACGTCCACCATTGAGTTTAATGAATAGATCTTCGGGCAATGGCAATGGATATGAATGATTTTGCAGAGCATTATTTAATCCAGTAGAAAAATCAGCACATAGACGAACAGTACCGTTAGCTTTTTGAACGACAACAATCGGAGCTGCCCATGATGAGAAAGTAATAGGTTGTATAACCCCAAGCTTTTCTAATCGGTCAAGTTCTTTATCAACTCTATCGATAGAGGCGTAGGGTACCTGCCGTTTTGGACGAAAAACTGGTGTAGCTCCTTGACGTAAATATAATTTGGCTTTACCAATATTGCAACATCCCAAAATATCTTGAAATACATTCGAATGCTTTTCAAGAAGATGAGCTGTAGTCAAGACGTTGTTGTTTGATGTAACATTTAATACAGGTAGATTTTTAGGAATATGTGGATCTTTCAATGTACACACTGCGTCTAGTGGCACCTTCCAAAGATTTAATTTGTCAATCCAATCAATACCAATAAGATCTAAATCATGTCTGTTTGTTAAATAACAAGTTCCAGTAAAAGAATGTACTCCGAATTAACCAGCACAATTTATCATCCCAACGAGTTTTAGAATATCTCCAGATGCATTACGCGCTGTATGTTCAGTAGGCAGTAATGGGGGGCAACCCATCAATTCCCAAGTTTTCTTAGAAATAAGTGTGATATCAGATGCTGTATCCAACTGTAAACGAATCTGAACATCATTAACCAATAGATCTACATATCTTCTTTTGTCAGCAAGATTACACGTGAATGTCGAATATATACTACGTATGGAACTCTTATGATTTCGGGGAAACTTTATGAGTCGTCCAGATTTCAAATAATTCTGTTGTCGGCAGACTGTTTCTTTATGACCAACTTTATAGCAAATGTTGCACTTATGACGTTTATAACGGCAAAATCTCGCGAAATGCCAAGATCCACAAAACCAGCACTTCGAAGACGGTTTGAATAATTTAGTTAGACGTTGATCATTCATTGGAACACTCTTACTTTTGTTGGATTTGACAGCATGGATATTGCAATTTATTGAAGCATTACCTTTAGTCTCTACAAGCTTCGTATCATTTTTGAGGTTGACCAGTCGTTGACATTCTGACGTTACCATCTGTAGTATCATGTCATCGTTTTGCTCAATGCGTGATAGCAATCTTGTTCCAACATCAGC